GCTTCTGCCTCCTGAGTGCTGGGATTAAAGGTGTGTGCCACCATGCCCAGCTAGCAGTTTGCTCTCTTAATCACTGCACCATCTCTCCAGCCTGCTGATTTCCTTCACTTAGCATAATGCTTTCAAGGTTCGACAATGTTGTACATATATTCATATATATATATATACACACAACACACGTGTTATGTATAAATATATATATACATATATATACACACACACATATATATATGACTGGAGAGATGACTCAGCAGTTAAAAGCACTTGAGGCTCTTGTACAGGACCTAGGTTTGGTTCCCAGAGCCTACATACTGGCTAACAGCCATGTGTAACTCCATTTCCAGGGATCTGACATCGTCTTCTGGCCTTCACAGCACTGCATGCAAGTGGTGCACTTTCATGCAGGCAAAATACTCACGTACATAGAATAGAGAGCCAGGTGTGGTGGCACATGCCTTTAGTCCCAGCACTCAGGAGGCAGAGGCAGGCAGATCTCTGTGAGATCAAGGCCAACCTGGTCTACATAGCAAGTTCCAGGCCTGTTGGGACTATAGAAAGATCCTGTCTCAAAAAGACATATATATATGTGTGTGTGTGTATGTATGTATATGTATATATGTATACACACGCACATATATAAAACATAACAAAAGTCATTTTATCCTTCCAAACATTTTTATTTATTTTTATTTTATGTGTATGAGTGTTTTGCCTACATGTATATAAGTAATCCTTCTGCTTGCTCTCCAGCATGGCTGCAGATTTGGGTCAGAAGTCGTCACAGTTGCCCACTTCTTCCTCCCCTTCCTCCTCCTCCTCTTCTTCCTCCTCCTCCTTCTTCCCCTTCTCCTCCCCTGCACATTCTGATTGCTCCCCTGAAACCTCATTGCCTGAAGTCCAGAAGGGAAAGTACCCAGAGGAATTCAGCTTGCTTAAGTTGCAGACAAGTGAGTAGGCCCTAGGCCTTCCTCCATGCCTCTGTGCCCAGGGTCCTTTCAGAAGTCGGCCATACTGTGAGCCCCAGTCATGGATGAGCTCACCTCAGTGCCAGGAATTTCGCACACTTCCTCTCTAGTCCTCAAAACCACTGTGTGGGAGGTTTGGTCATATGTTTTCAAAAAGACAGGCTTTTACATAAACACTGTAAAAGCTCACAGCAGGATATTAAGGCAATATAGGAGTATAGAGAGCATAAACCCCCTTGCTCAACAGTCTTCAATAATATTCTGCCTCATAGTTGTGAATACTTGATACAGATTTTCCCAGAATTTTGAAATGCTTGTGTACATCTTTATATTTATATATGTATATATACATTAGCTGTCATAGGATGCACAATGAAGCTTTGGTCAACAATGGCCTGCATATATGACAGTGTTTCCACAAAATTAGTGAAAGCTTCCTATGGTGTGATGTCATAGCTTCCCTGATATTGTGATGCAACATATGACTTGTGTATTTGGTGATTCTAATGCAAACAAACCCAGTCTGTGGCCAGTTTTATAAAAGCACAGCAGACATATAATATTTGATAATGATAAATAACTATACCCCTGGCTTATTAGTATACTACACTGTACCATCATATTATAGTGTATTCTATCAATTTATTTAAAAAGTTAAGGGATGTATTTGTTACTTTTCTGTTCCTGTGATAAAACACCATGACCAAGGCAACCTGTACATGGAAGAGTGTATTTGGCTCATGGTTCTAGAGGGGCAAGAGCCCATCATGGTGGCAGAGGTGGCCAGAGCAGAAAGCTGAGTCATCACATCTTCAAGCAGGCACATGAAGCAGAGAGCAACTGGAAATTTGGCAAGGCTTAAGAACTCTCAAAGCCTTCCCCCAGTGATGTGCTTCCTCCAGCATGGCCACACTTCCTAAAGGTTCCATGACCTTCCCCAAACTGCCATGAACCAGGGACCAAATGTCCAAATTCTTAGAGCCCATAGGGGACACTCATTCAGACCATCCCAGTGTGTTATTCAGGGAATCCTCCAGCAAGGCCACACCTCCTAAAGCGCCCCTGCCTCCCCATACAGTGCTACCAACTGGGAAATGCCTAAATACTTTGAGCCTGTGGGGGACATTCTCATTCAAACCACCACAGGGGTCCAGTGACATAGCTCAGAGAGTGAACGTGCTTGCTGTCAAACCTGACAACCCAAGTTTAATCCCCAGAACACGTGGTAGAAGAACCAATTCCACAATTTGTCCTCTGATCTCCACACTTGTACCATGCACATGCACCTACTCTGCCCACAATAAATAAAGTTAACCATAAAGCAGTATGCTTTGTTATACTGCTGCCTCACGTATTTTGTTTATCATGTCTCTTGATGGAAGAGACCACATGGTGGGCTGGAGAGATGGCTCAGTGGTTAACAGCACTGGCTGCTCTTGCAGAGGATTAGGGTTTGATTCCTAGCACCTACATGGTGGCTGACAACCATCTGTAACTCCAATTTCAGGGATCCAACAACTTCTTCTGGCCTCTGCATGCCTTGCATGACATGGGTATACTTAAATACACGTAGGCAAAACACTTACACACATGAAATAAAAAGGGACCACATGAATGAAGAAGTGCATTAATTACTTTTCTCATTGCTGTGACAAAATACCTGACAAGAAGCTACTTCAAGAAGGAAGGGGATATTTTGGCTTAAGGTTTGAGGGACTACAGTTGACATCACAGAGGGGAAGGCAAGGCGGCAGGAACATGAGGCAGCTGGTCACATTGTGTTCACAGTCAGGAAGCAGAGAGAGATGAATGCTGGTGCTCAGCTTGTTTCCAAGAACAAAGACAGCAAAGACCACGTATTGGTGTAATACACATGAAATGTCTAGAATAGGCAAATCTGACAAGAATACGCACACAGGCACACAGACACATACAGAATTTTTTTTTTTTTTTTGAATCTTAAAAAAACAACAGAAAAACAAACCCCAAACCAAAAGCTAGTCTGTGTAGGCCAAACAGAGCCTGGGGAGTTTTTGTAACTTGTCGTCTAGTGTCTTGTGAGGCTGGAGCAGTGTTGATGGAAGGGTTTGCTGTCTTGCAGAAGATGGGCAGCGTCCTGAGTGGACATTTTATCCAAGGTTTAGCAGCAATATCCACACCTACCATATCGGAAAGCAGTGCTTCTTCAATGGAGTCTTCCAGGGCAACAGGAGTTCTGTGTCAGAGAGGACAGTTGATAAGAGCCTTGGGAAGAAGAAATATGGTAACATGGGGCACCTCCTCCTTGACTGTTCAGTGACTAAACAATTCTTGAATTGTTACTCTGTGGCTGAGGACAGCTTTACAGAGTCACCGGGTCATGGGAGAGGGGAAATCAGAGAGCTCAGTGGGCAGGTGACAGGTTTTGATAAAGAACTCCCAATGTATGCTAATCCCCTGCTTTGGTTTCATCTGAATCTCATAAAATGCTAATGTGACATTTAAGTCACCAGATGAGTCCTCTCAGATAGCTATTAATAGAAACCTCCTTGAAGTCCGAAGAAAATAATGCATATTTCAATTAGATGCCACCTGTCTTATACATTTAAAGCAAGCCTTAGCATGAAGCATATGTTGTTTTTATTCAATTAAAGGCAACTGAGATGAGAAATATTATACATACGCTGTATATAAATCTATGTATCATCTTAGTTTATAACTTGGTGAGTTCTTTGCCTCAACTCACCCAGAATAGACTTCCCAAAAGAGGTCCTAAGAGGTTGCTAAGCACCAGTGAACCGTTTATGGCCCTCTCTTATGGAATGCCCATGTGGGAGGAAGCAGTCAGTGCTTCAGTGATGAAAAAGAAGTGGCAACTTCTCTTTTAAAACTCAGAGTATGGGGGCTGGAGAGATGGCTCAGCGATTAAGAGCACTGACTGCTCTTGCAAAGGACCTGGGTTCAATTCCCAGCACCTACATGGCGGCTGACAACTGACCATAACTCCAGTTCCAGGGGATCTGACACCTTCTTCTGACCTCTTTGGGCATCGCACAACATGGGTGCACTTACACGCATAAAAATAGTAAATAAATTTTTTTTTGTCTTTTTGAGACAAGGTCTCCCTGTACCCCCAGCTGTCCTGGAACTCACTATGTAGACCAGGCTGGCCTTGAACTCACAAAGATCCACCTGTCTCTGCCTCCCAAGTGCTGGGATTAAAGGCATGTGCTACCATGCTGGGCATAAATAAAATATTTTTTAAAAACTCATAGTTGTTGGGGATGGTGGTGCATGCCTTTAATCCCAGCACTAGGGAGGCAGAGGCAGGCGGATCTCTGTGAGTTCAAGGCCAGCCTGGTCTACATAGTGAGTTCCAGGACAGCTGGGGCTACAGGGAGACCCTGTCTCAAAAAGACCAAAAAAAACCCAAAACCAAAACAACAACAACAACAAAAAAACCCAAACAAAAAAACTCATAGTAGGGACAAATAGTTTTGCAGGTTGAGCCTTTGATTTATATGGATAGAGAATACATGAAAAGCCAGGCTGAAGGAACTGGAAAAGAGACCACTGATGTCAGGTTTTAAAATACATGCATTTTATTCATTTTTATTTTATATGTACTAATGTTTTGCCTGCATACATAGAAGTGCATCCATGCGCAATGCCTGTAGGGGCCAGTGAAGTGTGTTGGATCCCCTGGAACTGGAGTTGGGAATGGCCGATAACTGCTGAATCACCTCTCTAGCCCATGATTTCAGGTTTTCACGGGAGTCTTGTACCTTGCCCGGCTCCTGTGCTCCTCATTTATCAGGAGGAAATGCAGGCCGCAAAGATGGATCAATTGGCAAAGCGTCTGCTGTGCAAGCATGAGGAGGACTTGAATTCAGATCCCTAGCACCAACCTAAATGCCGGGCACAGAGGGAGTCCTCTGTAACCTTAGAATGGGGCAACCGAGGCAGGAGAGTCCTTGGAGCTTGATGGCCAGCTCAGTTAGCCAACTGAGTTCAGAGAGACTGTCTCTATGCCAAAAAATAAGGTGGAGGGGCTGGAGAGATGGCTCCGTGGTTAAGGGCACTTGCTGCTCTTGAAGAAGACCTAGGTTTGATTCCCAGCATCCACCTGGTGACTACCAACCACTTGTAGCTTCAGTTCCAGGGGATCTGACGTCCTCTTCTGGCCTCCATAGGCATTGAGTATATACATATGTGGGTATTCTTACATACATGCAGACAAAACAGTCATACACATAAAATAAAAACAAATCTTAAAAAAATAAGGTGAAGAGCAATTGAGGAAGACACCCAACATTGACCTCTGGCCTTCACATACAAGCTCACACACATGCATTACACACCTTCATGCACATGCACACATACAAACACATACACACCATGCCCAGCTGACTTCCTCCTGAGACCCCATTCAGAAAGGCAGGGCCCTAAGGATGGTTCTTGGCCTTTCTAGGACTCAGGTATTCAAAGTCCACTAATGCTCATGAATAAAAAGATTTGAAAATCAGAGATCTCTCTGATCAGGGCAAAGACAGCTCTCATTCACCACATTCTTTAAACCCCAACTCTATTCTCTGAGGGTGAGGTCATTGTATTACAATAACACCTTTCAGAAAGGTTGGGTTGGCTTGTAGCTCAGATGGCAGAGTGCTTACTTTACAAGCACAAAGCTCTGGGTTTGATCCCCAGCACTTCATAAACAGGGCTTGATAGTGCACACCTGTAATCCCAGCACTTGCCTGTAATCTCAGCATTTAGGAGGTAGAGGAAGGAGCATCAGTTCAAGGTCACACCTGGCTATATAGTATGTGAGTTTAAGGCCAGTCTGGCTACCTGAGATCTTGTCTTGGAAAAAAAAAATGTCACCCCGAGCCTGAATTTCCTAGGGCAAGACACCAAGGAGAACTTTAAAAAATGCTTCTGTGTAATTTACAACAAAGCATTAAAATATTTAATTTTCACTGTTTAGTTGCTGCTCACAGCGGTCAGTGCGTCATCTTCAGCCTTGTGCGTGATGTTTTCAAACATTTTCCACAGATATTGATACCAGAAATGGAATTCCAAAGTTAACCCCAGGGGATAATCCATATAGGTCCCCAGAACAGAGTAAAGAATTCTACAAAGCAGGAGCGACTCTGCCACCCGTCAACTTTTCACTGTGAGTGTGTATTAATTCCAGAATTATCTCATTAACTTTAAAGGACTTGTGCCTCTCTACTCTGTGTGTGTGTGTGTGTATATATATATAATTTACTATTTTATTTATTGTGTATGGTATAAACACACGTGTGCAGATGTGCACATTCATGCACATGTGTGAATACATGCAGAGGCCAGAGGAGGATGTTAGGTGTCTTCCTCTATCCCTCTCTACCTTATTGGTCTAGACAAGATCTCTCACTGACCCTGAAGCTTGCCATTTTGGTTAGGCTGGTTGTCCAGAGAGTCCCTAGGATCTATCTGTATCTGTCCACCAATGCTGGGGTTACAAGTATGCAAAGCTGTGCCCATCTTTTCTATGGGCACTGGGGATTTGAACTTAGGTCCTCTTATTCTCTTAGCAAACCCTCTTACACACTGAGTCATTGTTCCAACCCCTGTATGTGAATTATTTTTTTACATTTTATTATTTTTATTTTAGGTGTATGAGTGTATTGCCTATATGTATGTGAGTGCACCTGTGTCATGCAACACCATGGAGGTCAGAAGAGGGCTTCGGATTCCCCTGGAACTGGAGTCAAGGATGGTTTGTAGCCGCCATGTGAGTGCTGGGAATTGAACTCGGGTCTTCTACAAGAGCAGTCAGTGCTCTTAACCGCTGAGCCATCTCTCCAGCCCCAATTTGTAAATAAATTTTCTTTTTGTCTTCTTTGAGACAGGGTCTTCCTGTAGTCCCAGCTGGCCTGGAACTCGCTATGTAGACCAGGCTGGCCTTGAACTCACAGAGATCCACCTGCCTCTGCCTCCTGAGTGCTGGGATTAAAGGTGTGCCACCTCCCGGCATGAATTATTTTTTAAACGGGATGAATATCAACAAGACCTGATGGACTGAAAAATTCCTTAAAAAGTTCATCTTTAGGGGCCTGGAGAGATGGCTCAGTGGTTAAGAACACTGGTTGTTCTTGCAGAAGACCCGGGTTCGAATCCCAGCACACACATGGCAGCTAACAACTGTCAGTAACTCCAATTCCAGGGGATCCAATGGCCTCTTCTGTCCTCTGCAGGCATTGCATCACACGGGTGCACTTACCTACATGTAGGCAATACACTCATACACATAAAATAAAAATAATAAATAAAATATCAAAAGAAAAAAAAGTTCATCTTTGGGGGTTGGAGAGTTGGATCAGCACAGAGGCCCTACAGAGGCCCTGGGTTTGGTTCCCAGCACCCACTGTAACTCCAGTTCTAGGGGACTGGATGCCCTCTTCTGACCTCCGTGGGCATTGCATGACATAAGTGCAAGCAAAACACTCATACACATAAAAATAAAATTTTAAAAGATTTTAAAAGTTTATCTTTGGTTAATTTGTGCATACTCACATGTGTAATTTAAATGATAAAAGATACAAGGGCTGAACACATAGTGGATTGGCTGTGCACTTGCCTATGTACAAGGCCCCAACTTCAACCCTCAGTACCAAATAAAAAGATATAAGGCTTTAAAGAGTGTACATGTAACATGGAACACAAAGGGGGATTATTTGGGGGGAGGAAGGGAGAGAGTAATGAGCCAGATGTGGTGGCACACGTCTTTAATCCCAGCAGGTGGATCTCTGTACAGTCAGCCTAGTCTACATAGTCAGTTCCAGGTCACCCAGGGTTATAGGGAGGGAGATCCTGTTTCAAAAAGACCAAAAAAAAAAAAAGTGGAATGAATATGAACAAAGCCCAGTGATACACACACGTATGGAAATGTCAGCACAAACCCACAGCATTGTACTCTGAAAATCAACAGAACAAGAGCTGAGTGTGGTGGCTCACACCTTTACCCTTAGTGCTGGGAGGCAGAGGCTGGCAGATCTTTAGACACAGTAAGACCCTCTCTGAAAAATGAATAGAACAAGAAAGAAGTGGCTATTAATTTTGCCTGACATGAAGGCTTTTTAACTTTCTCACTGAATCTGATTGTTAGTGACTACTATATAGGTTGACTTAAACTTGGAGGCAAACTTAAGATAGTGTGATAGAGGAGAATGGGGAATCATTCAGCTTAAAGAAAAACATCTACTCTATTACATTTAAAATATTACTTAGGGGGCTGGAGAGATGGCTCAGTGGTTAAGAGTACTGGCTTCTCTCAATGGGCATTGCACAGTATTGCTTAGAAAACTGATCATGTCACCAGGCATGGTGATGCATGCCTTTAATCTCAGCACTCAGGAGGCTGAAGCAGGCAGATCTCTGCGAGATCGAGGCCAACCTGGTCTACATATCGAGTTCCAGGCCAGCTGTGGCTACAGGGAGACCCTGTCTCAAAAAGACCAGAAAAACAAAAAAGAAAATTAATCATGTGAGATTCAATAATTTTAGCTAAAATAATAAAAAATAATACACATTATATCCCCTACAGTTTTGAAGTCCTTATTTGAGAATTAATACCAGAAGATGTGATCTATATTTGAATATCATGATTCCTATGCTGTTGAAGCCATAGAAATTTAAAAAAATATTTTATTTTTATTTTATGTGTATGAGTGTATTGTCTGCATGTGTGCACCTGTGTCCTGCAATGCCCACTGAGGTCAGAAGAGGGCATCAGATCCCCTGGAAGTGGAGTTATAGATAGCTTTTAGCCGCCAAGTGGGTGCTGGGAACCAAACCCAGGTCCTCTGCAAGAGGAGCCAGTGCTGTCATAGCAATTTTATGGTTGTTTTATTATACTTTTTTTTTTTCAGGGTACCTTATAAGAAGAAATTTGATACATTTATTCCACTTGAACCACTTCCACAAATTTCCAAGTGAGTTCTCTCACCAAGTGTATTTTTTTTTAAATGTTTAATTGAATTTTTGTGTATTTCATACAGGAAATTATCTTTATACCCCCTTCCCCTTTGGCACTCCCCCATAGCCCCCCCCCACTGGAGTTCATACATTCTCTCATGTGTGTTAAGGCCTATTACGTAAGGTTAATGTCCCAAGATGTCCCTCAGTGCAAGTTCATCCACCGGGGTTTAGTCAGTGTATTAGTCACTCTTCTGTTGCTGTGATAGAAAAACTGACCAAAGCAATTTATACAAGGAAGAGTTTATTTGAGCTCACAGTTCCAGGGGAATTACAGTTCATCACGGCAGGGAGGCATGGTGGCAGAGGTGGCTGGAGGAGGAGCGGAAGCTAAGCTCTATATCTTTCAGCAGGCACAGGAAACAAGAGAGCAACTGGAGATCTGGCAAGGCTTAAGAACTCTCTAAGCTCGCTCTCAGTGACATGCTTCCTCCAGGATAGCCATACCGTCTAAGACCTCTCACAACAGTGCCATCATCTTGGGACAAAATGTCCAAATACTTGGAGCCTATGGGGGACATTTTCAATCAAACCACCAGTCAGCCTATCTAGAGTCTCTCCCTTCAAGATAATCAGCTTTTCCTCACCTAGCAGTAATCAGCTGCCAATAATTCTTTGACTAAGATTGGGTCTTGCTGGTCATTTCCACAGTTATGTGCTGGGGTTTTGTCTGCCTAAGTTTGCATGGGTCTTGTGCATGCTGACACCATTGCTGTAGGTTTGTATGAGAAGGGTCCCAGGCACCTGGAGGACCATTTCTGTGTGGTCATGCACCTCCTCCTTGGCTCTTACAATCTTTCTGCCCCCTCTTCTGCAATGGTCCCTGAGCGCTGGGTGGGTAGACCTCAATATAGGAGACCTGTCCAAGGACCCACACTCTGCAGACTCATTCTCTGTCTCACCAAGTTTTATATTATCCTATCTATATGAAAACAATACTTCCTTCCTGTTGGGAAACCCTGCTGTTAGGGTTGTAGTCCTCTATGTCTGGATAGCTCTAAGGGGCTCATCCCAAATGGAAGGACTCCCCTTCTCAGCAGGGGGCCTCCTGCTCTCTTCCTGACTTACCTGGAAAGTGCCACCAAGCACGGATGCCTGACCTTATTTGGAACATGACCTTTGGCATAGTTACCTGGAGTAAAAACTACCCCCAGATTTTTTCTGTATGATAATCAAGCATTGCCTGGTAGTTGGACGATAGGAGCCCACTGCCACATGTAAATAAAGCATACTATGAGCACCTATCAGCTGAGGCTTTGGCTACTGCCTCCACACTATATTTTCCCCAGTTCTCCCACTGCATAATCGGAGCTGTTTCACTGAGTCTGGAGCTGTTTGCATCATTGAACCTGCCTCCCCAGAAGGGCTTTTTTCCGTCAGTGCTCACTGGCCATCCTGACCCCGCTTATCGCTTCTGCTCCCCTTGTTCTCGTGGACTGGTGGCCAATGACCCGCAAGGAGAGGGAGAGACCCCACACCTTCCCGAGGAGGAGCCTACAGACAATCAAACCCCAGGGGCCTTTTGTGTCCCAACAGGAGGCAGGGCAGGGCAGTTTGTAAGGAGGACAATTGGAGAGACACATAGAGGTCAAGTGTCTGTAATACTGGGTAGTGGGATGGGCACAAGTTCTACGTGTGACATGGGCCAGCTGCCAGATGCCATGTGCTGTTGTGTTGGGCATGCATGGTAGGAGAGTTTACATAGAGCAAAGAGATTGGCTTCTTGTTACCAGAGTGTTCTAAAAAGAAAGACACATATTTAAATGATTGCAACAGGGGGAAATGGTTAGAGCTTCGAAAGCAGAGGGAAAGCCAATAGAACATGCTGGTTCTCAAGGCAAAGATCATTCCTCTGTTTTCATACTTAAAATTATGTACACACACACACACAGACACACACACACACACATACACACACACGCCCTGGTGCTTTGGAGTCTGTTCTCTCCTTCACCATGTGGGGCCCAGGGATTGAACTCAAGCAGTCATGCTTGGTGCCTTTTCCCACTGAGCCATCTCACTGGTCCTGATTTCATACTTTTGCTCGGCTCCAGTCT